ACGGGGCCCTTGTAAGTTGTCGAAGGACCAATGTTAGTGACCACTGAGGTGGTGGAAGGTGGACATCTGTGGTAGAGGTGTGACAGCCCCTTGAAAAAACGTTTCAGGGTAGGGTGTCTGAAAAACTTAGTTGTCTGAGAGGTTGGTGGTTGATAAGCCACAATTGCAGAAAGGTAGACCTTGAAGGACGAGAGAGAAAGACCCTTAGTTTTTAACTGCAATAAAAAAACATAAGTAAGAGAAGAGTTGGTTGAGGAAAAAGATGACTCTGAATTAAAAGCTTGATTTTTTTTTTCCCATTTATACATATAGGCCTTCCTGGCTGAAGGTTTCTTTGCATGATGAATGACATTCATCAGTGAGGTCAAATCCTCCACGCTGTGAGATGAAGAGCAGGGAGATCTGGGTGGAGAATTTGATTTTTGTTCTGTATGAGCAGGTGATAAATGTCGGACGACAGCTGGTGGAAATTGGGAACCCTGGCTGTCACAGCCACCATGGAGCTATCAGGAAAGTATTGGGCCTGTCCTTTTGAAGGCGGACTATGACCTTGTGGAGGAGTAGGATTGGTGGAAACAGATAAATGAGTGACTTAGGCCAATGGCCGATTAATGAGTCTCCGCAGGAGTTCTTGCCTACTCCTGCATGGGAGCAGTAATGCTTGTATTTCCAGTTTACCCAGGAGGCAAAGAGGTTGATGGTGGGCGTGCCCCACTGTTTGCACGGGGAGAAAAAACAGATTGATCTAGCTCCCATTGTGGGCTTGCGATTTTTTCCGACTGAGCAAATCTGCCAGATTGTTGTCTTGACCGCTATATGTATTTCTGTGAGACAAATGTGATGAGAGAGTCACCAGTCCCACAGTTCAACAGCGGGTGACTAAAAGACTTGGCGAGTGAGTGTCCCCTTGTTTGAGAATATAATACATCCTGTTGTCTGTGGCTAGTTGAACCATTTTGTCCATGAGACGGTTTTTGAAAGCTCTGCAAGCTTTTATTAGTGTTAAGAGTTCTAGCTCATTGATATGGAGGAGTTTCTCTCTTTGTGACCACCGGGCATGGATTTGCAGGGATTTGCAATGGGCACCCCAGCCAGTAAGCCTGGCATCTGTAGTAACCTGGATTTGTGGGCGGGGTTGTTGAAACGGCCGTCCTATCATCAGGTTCTGAGCAGAGTGCCACTATGCAAGCTGGGAGGTGAGTTCTGGAGAGTGACTCGCAGCAACATATGTGGTGAG